CACATGCATACAACAGAAAACTGCAGTTTAATGTCCTCTCAGTGATACACTTATATAAAATAAAACCCATTTCACATATTCACACAACCTAGGGGTGATTAAGGGAAAGACCCCAAAATTATATCAATCTGTCAGTGTCACGCATTTTAACATAGACTTCACTCAATCATTCATTAAAAGTCCTTCACTCACCTTGACAAATTTTAGGCTCTGGTTCTGGCGGTCATACCAGAAGCCATAGTCAATCCAGAGGCGCAGCAGCTCCAGCGGTGGCTGAAAGCCAAAGAGGTCATGAGCTGGCAAGTTGAGGTCATCCAGGAAGCACAGCAGTCGCTTCCCACCTGCTGGCACAAACACTCCTTTGGTTCTCTTTTCTATTTGGCTCTCCACGATGGCCTGGATGTTATGAGAGGTGGTCTGGACAGTGATGGAGACATTGACACAGAAAACAAAGATTCAATTTTAGAAATATTTCTTTTGAGGCAGAAGTCTTTTAAAACATCACTAACAATATGGTATTAAAATATGCCACTGACAATAAGGGCAGTGCTCTGACGGGTACTTTCCTGACCTTAAAATTTGCTTTGTACATCTGTGGGATATCTTGTGGGAGGACAGGTGCAAACTGGTGACAAAATTAGGTACTGCAGAAGGTGTAGATTTAGCAACATATGATTTGAGAAGACCTATCTATAAACTTTTATTTTGTATTTTTAATAAAAATCTCCTCAACTGTTACCTGCTTGGTTATTCTGCACTTGGATCCTCTTTCATGCTCCAAACACACTAACTGTGATATGCATCAACCTTTGCTAAATCAACTGAAAAAAAAAACAAGGCTGCAGAAAGTAGCCACAATTATTGCTCCAAACATCTGACTGATTGCTTATAACTGCTGGATTACAGTAGTTCATCTAAGTGTCACTGCCTCTTTTCCAACTTTCTTTTTAGTGTAAGTAGCATTTCATGTTTTAGGTGCAAATGTTGCTCTTTTCCTGAGAATCCTATTTCCTCCTTTGACGCTATTGCTGTCATGTGTTACTGTGTATGATACAGTTGTTTCAGATCAATAAGATCAGTGATGTAAATGGTTAAGATTGACTTCTATTAAATTTTAGTGAGCCCTTTTGTAGGTTGTGTTGCAGCAGATACATGAATTAAAATAGCAGGCAATGTCCACAGAGTCTGTATGCTCTGATAAAACAGTGTCACTTAACTGAGCAAATATATTAAAAGTTTATCTGTAAATATTGTGTTTGTGTATACTCTGTACACAGCTAGCTGTCATACTTTTAGGGAGAGGGGAGAGTTGTCAGGTTAGAACAGTCCCTGCTCAGAGTCGTTGCCTAGTAAAGCTTGGTGGTAGCAGTGAAAAACGAGGGTATGGGAGCATGGTAATAATGGTGATGTAGAGGTGTGGGGTGGTGTTGAGTGTCTCCATCATCTCTAGCTCCATTGCAGGCCTTCATCAGAGCTGTCAGCACTATTCAACCTGACTGCGGGGGCTCAGAGCGACATATGACTTTTACTCTTTGAGCTGAGATGGAAGCTATTCACAAATGCCTCCTGATTGGAGGCAGATGCACTCACACACACAAGCTGCACTCAGTCACCTTTAAGTGACTGCATTGTATGCATCCCAAGCTCGAAGTGAGGGCAGCTCATCATCAAGTAATATAGGTGAGATGTGTGTGTTAGTCATTGCATGTAGGGGAATTTTGTGCATGTCTTGTGAGTACAAATTACATTATATGGCAGCTTTATGACATGTTGCAGCCTAATGGACTTCTGAGGTTTATTATTTGTATCCATACCATAGTTTTATAACCTATCATTCTTTTTAGTGAGAACAAGCCAAGAGTTAGAAAGAATAAATAAACCAATACTATTCTAATTATTGCCTTCTCAGAGAGATAAGTAGGCAGACACACATGCAAAGAGGGACTAATAAATAATAAAAGACCTAATAAACCACTCACAAACCTTTCACAACACTTGCCCACTGTGTTATTATAATTTCCTCAACACCTGTGTTGGATAAAAGTCCATCCATCCATTATCTATACACTGCTTAATCCTCAGTAGGGTCACGGGGGAGCTGGAGCCTATCCCAGCTGACTTAGGGCGACCTGGACAGGTCGCCAGTCTTAGAAACAGACAACCAAGCACACTCACATTCACACCTACGGACAATTTAGAATCATCAGTTAACCTCAACATGTTTTTGGACTGTTTGGAAGGAAGCCAGAGAACCCAGAGAGAACCCACACTGCACGGGGAGAACATGCAAACTCCACACAGAAAGATCTTGGTGCCCCCACCGGGACGTGAACCGGCAACCTTCTTGCTGCGAGGCAACAGTGCTTGGATTAAAGTCGTAATTAAAAAAAAAAAAAAGAAAAGGCAATTGCTCTATCTTGTGCAATGTTTCTATTTCTAGAGGCAAGCAGCTTTTGCATGCAATTATAGGAGAACAGGAATACACATGTGGCATGCACAAATACACACAGCACATGGAAAGCACCTACCTGTGAAGACATGTTGATAGTGAGGGAAGTCCACTTGTTATCCAACTCCTGCAGGACACTCTGGGCTACGGAGGTTTTACCGGTACCCACCGGCCCAGTGAGCAGCACCGGGTACTGACTCAACACCAGAGCCTTGACCAGTAAGTTGTAGCGAACTGTGTCCACTGTTGGAACCATGATCTTATAGAATGGAGCGCTGCAGGAGAGATAAGGGAGAGATGTGGATGTACAATAGATATTAGATGTAGCTTACACCTAGTTATTTCTGGCACATATTTCATAAATGAAATGGGTAAAACTTCTACACTCTCAAGCATATATACATCCAGTGTTGGGTATATAAGACCACCTTGTTACTTACGTAGCATTGTAGCGCCAGCCTTTTGGTAGCTTGTCTTCAAAAAGAGCCCAGTTCTTTTTCTTTTCATCCACATAGTAGTCATAGACAGTGTCCTGAAAGAATTTATTTAAAAAATTGAGAGAATGTTGCTGTCTGCTAAGACAGATGTACTCACTTTGATGGTGGAAAGTGTAGATCTACTGATTAGCATCACTATTGTGGTGTCTTAAATCGCTTACATTAACATAACTAGCCTTGCAACTATAAAACGATGTGCCTAACATAATTATATGGTTGTATGGATTCCAGAAAGTTATTGTGTTTGTCATGGGGGATGATCTGGCATAAAATGGACTTTGTAAAACTTTCTTGACACTCATGGAATCAATATACTGCCAAGATGTCAAGTTAAATTTGTAATATCAACCATTGCAGTTAATCTTAGGGGCGTATAACAATAACTAAAAGTTTACAGCTTTCTTTAAGGATGTTAAATAAAAATCTATATGGCATGTTTTAAAAGTAAGTTAAAGTAGTTCCCCTATTTTGAACATCCATTTTTAAAAAGCATTGTATTTTATGCGTGCACCTGACAGTCAGCCCATCATGATAAAAAACAAATAAATAAAAAATAGGGATAACATGTTAATTCCACAACAAGAGAGACCTAATGTTCTCTGCAATTTGAAAGAAAAATATGTGCATAAATCTGTATCGGCATTCAGCCAAAACAAGATCAGATGTCAGCAAAAATTTTAAATCACGCATCCCTAGTTAATTCCATTTATTTCTTCATGACTGCCAGAGATCTGATGTCATATCTGAATATGCATCACTTGCATTTGCAGGAGGTCAAGGCATAATGCTAACAGGTCACCTGGATGACCCAAGCAATCTGATAATGCTACCTGAGCCCAACAGTGCTCACTGACATAATCTTCTTAGGATGATTCCCAGTGGTAATGTTGTGTTTATTTGTGTATATTCAGAATAGGCTGTAAAGCTGCCAGAGCCACTTACACATAAATAGCTCTGGTAGCCCTAAATGTCTAATTAGCACTTTTTTTCATTTGCAAAAAAATTGTTTAGCCATAGCAGCAGAAACTTGAAGTTGACATAAGACTGGTCAAGGAGGCAGCTTAGTGAAGGTAGTGGATGTCAGCTTTGACTGACTTTGTATGTCTAAGTGTGTAAACAAATGTGCCCTCCAGAGGACCTTGCCAGGGAAGGTGCCCTCTGTCTCCCGTAAGAAGTTGTCCATCTTCTTGCGTCCATCCTCGTCAACAGACGCACAGATGGACCAGATGAGGCTGAAGATGAACCACAGTTCCACAATCCTACCCAAGTTTTCTGTGTCCGACCTATCCACCTGAAGAAAGAGGGGAAGCGTTAGGGGAAGGAAAATTACTTTTTTCACACTGCAAATGCTTTACAATGCTTCACCTTTGTTTTGATATTAGGGTACTAAAGGAGATGGAGTTGCATAATTTATCGCTTAAATTCAACCACAAGTCTTAAGTCAGTGATACCAAAATGCACGTAGGATCAGTATTGTAGCAACTTAGACACATTAGACCTTCCACTGTACTTGTCATACCCCATTACTGGATGTAGCCAGGGAGTCATAGAGGCGGCAAAGAGAGGTGACACCATTGAGTTCAGTGATGGGGATCAGCTCCTTACAGTTGTTCCTCTTAAAGTTCAGTGTGCTCTCTATGTATTTCTCAAACAAACCCTTCAAATGTTCTACTTCATTCTGTGGAGAAATAAAGCAATGGAGACACATGGAAGAGCAAAGAATCAGAAAAGTAAGAAAATAAAATCAATTGTGATCGGACTCATCGAATATCTTCTCAAAAAATTGCATCGTACTTTGTTTCGCTTGTCCAGCCAGGATTGAACAAAAGGCTTCCATCCTAGATCGGCATAATCATTGTAGACCATTCCACAGCGACTCACTGTAGCTGGAGAGGCCATTGCCAGGTTCTCTACCTCAAACAGAAGAGACACCTACGACGAAAGAGTGTATATTATTTACTATGCATGTTCATATTCATTTATTTGTTAATAACAGTTGTTAGTAAGACAGAAGCGGACGTGGCAGTAGGTTGGATGATGGCTAAATGGATCAAACCACTTCAACGCAATTTCTCAGTTATATGCTAATAATCTTATCTTGCCTTTGCGCTTTTGCTATGATGGATTTATTTGACAGAATCAAAAACAGTCTAGTTTTTTGTTTGTTTGTTTTTTCTCTTCAGTTGTTGCAGAACAAAAGGATATTTGCTGCTTTCTATTTAGAAACTATTTCAAAACATGGCTGGCTCACTGTCACACTGTCAGGGCTGATTGAGGCACTTTAATAGAACAGAGAAAACATAAATGGTACTTTTAACAACATCTCTGTTCATATTATTAAAAGGCAAAAATGTCTGTTGTAAAAAACGGGCATCAATATGATTTTCTGTCTTTTTCTCACCTGCTCCGGCATGGAGATTCTCTCTCCATTGATAAGTGTGAGCACCTTGTTGTCATCCATAACGGAGTTCATGCTCTCTATCCACAGCGTGTCCACAGGCCCATCAAACACGATCCACTTCTCATCTGGTTTCTCATCTTAAGATTGAAGAGGACATGCAGTGTGTGACTGATAGAGTGATGTAATGTACAAATATAGTGGCAAAGTTCACAGTGTCTTATAAAAGGCACAGTCTTCAATAAAAGGCCAGACCAGGGGTCGGCAACCCGCGGCTCTTTCATATCTCTGCTGTGGCTCCTTGTGGCTTTGGAAAATAAATAATGAGTATTTAATCTAAATTTATTTTTTTCAGTTCATTAGTTTTTAAAATGCAGTTCTGAATTTGAAGATTATGGTGATCTTGTAAGATGAAAATGTGTTTCTTTTTTTTTTTTTGTCGCTCAAAACTTGCGTCACACCCACCGATGTGCGACACCCACCAGCACGCACAGTGTTACCAACTTGGTGACTTTCTCGCTAAATCTGGCAACATTCCAAATCCTCTTGGCGACTTTTTTTTTGTCAAAAGTGACTAGTGACAAATCTAGCTACCCTTTCTGGTGTTAATGGAGATTTTTCTGGTGTTCTGGAGACTCTGATGTGAAAACATGTATTGTTCTGCAGTTACTATTGTTAGCGAGCAGCCGGTGCTGTCGTGAGCTCCTTCCCGTCCCAAAGCGCTCTTAGGCCGTCAGGAGCCTGGTCAGCAGTCCCAGCTGCAGTCAGCAGACCAACCAGACGTCATTTTTACTTTGCTGCAGGTGAATAATTTAAGTTTTGTATTTCATAAATACGAGGAGCACTCAAATAGACATTCAGTATTTTATTTGAAAGCAACCTTCAACCCAGCATCTTTTTTTACGAGTTCAAAAAGTTTTTGCTGCAGAAATAAAATTTTGTTTTCTCTGTAGAAGTTCATTAATTTTATAAATGCAACACACTATAGTTTTTTAGACATAGCATTAATGTAAAAACGATATATGCTATCTGTATTGTCTTCATTTTAGACATCAAAAGGGTTTTGTGGCTCCCAGTGTTTTCTTTTCTGTGGGACATGGGTCCAAAAGGCTCTCTGAGTATTGAAGGTTGCCGACCCCTGAGCTAGACTATAATTTGTGTCAGTGTTTGCACTACACGACAATTCTCGTAGACTAATCGTAGCAACTGGACTTGCTTGAGTTCCTTGAAGACGTTTCACCTCTCATCCAAGAGGCTTCATCAGTTCTGACTGACTAGTTCGGAGTTCCAAGTACTTAGAACCTTAAGGAATCATTAACACCTGAGTTTTAGTTTTAATTGGGGGTTTTTGCTCCTCCCCCTCGTTATGTGGGTCGTTACTGCTCCTCCTGACACAATGGGGTTCGTTAGGGTCTTTTGTGGCTACGTGTGAATGCGGTTTCATTCCTGGGGAGAGTTCTTAGGACTGAACTGTAAAAAGGTGAGAGATGATGCCTCAGACCTCCACCTCTGTTGAGGGATGGTCTTTCCAGTTTGACATACCCACCACCCACTGGAACACAAGCTGGGAGTAATAAAACCCCCAACTGAAACGAAAACTCAGGTGTTAATGACTCCTTAAGGATAGAAGTATCTGGAACTCCCAACGAGTCAGTCAGAACTGATGAAGCCTCTTGGATGAGAGGTGAAACGTCTTCAAGGAACTCAAGCAAGTCCAGTTGCTACAATTAATCTACGAGAACAACCATGACCTGGATGACTGAGAATCTTAACAGACATTACATGACAATGTAACACTATGTAAAAACACTCTGGAGTTCCAGTTTTGTGTGCAAGATTCAGTAGCTGTTTGCCAGTAGCTTCAACTTCTTCCCAAAACACTAAGAGGCAAGAACGAAGCAACCCACAACCTTACATTTCTGCCTTGGCTTTTTGCTTGTTCAGTCAAAATTTAGAAAGAGGATTACAGTGATGGCACATAGATGCCGCTGGATCTACTGCCATCTTGATAAAGAAAATCCTATACGATATGACCTTTCATTGTGGCAGTATGCATAGTGAAACAAAGAATATTTCTTTGACAGTTTTAGATGCACTGCCTGGGTCCAGTCTCCACAGTTTATCATTACTACTTTATAAACATGAAAAAAAAAGTTTACACGAAAGACTGCTGTTTGATTTCATATAAAATTGGGTTCAGTTTAGCTGGATGAGGATGGGATGCTGGCTGGTGGGTGTTCATACAGTTGGAACATCAGAGTGTGTTCTTCATGTTAGCACCTGCGCATGCTGATCTCATGAGGGAAGACAGAACTCCATCACACCACTCGTTCGTAGAGAGGTTATTTTCTCCATACAGCTCTCCCAGACTCATTGCTTTGGGATTCAGAGGATACTCCTGTTGTGCCACAGGGACAAGCAAAGAAAAAAGAAAGCATGTAGGTTATAGTTACAGACGGTTTGTCTGTTACAAACCTTAAAACTGATGAACACCATCTGAGCCATTATCATGCAAGGTAATTAATAGAAAAAAAGCTTCTGAATATGTAAATTTGATTAGCAGAGATGAGTTTCATCTACACGAACCTGGACCAGCTGAAACTCAGGCATTCCCTTGTGGTGCAGGGCAGTGAGGGCGTTCTTCAGCGTCCTCCAGGTAACACTCTTACCGCTTCCTGTCTTGCCCACCAGCATGGAGGAGTGCCTAGAGTTTTTGGTCTCATAAAGTTGGATGACTTTGGTCGTGGTAAAAGGAGTCACCTGTAAGCCGCTCTGACAAAGTTCTGCTTCAATAGCTTCCTTTAACTACAGCAAAACAACAACAAAAGATAGACAGATGGTCAGTCATTGGTGACACAGATTGGTGATATTGCAAATGTGCAGACTGCCACATACTGCTGAGATCATCTTGTTGTAATGAACAGTGCCCAACCTTTAGTATGCTCTTGCACATACAAGCAAAGACAGAAATGCAATCTAAAAAAATTCTTTCAACATTTCTGCTTGGTTTTGCCCAATTTCAGTTCTCTATCGAACCCACAGGCTATACCAGATTTTGTTGTGGGCAGGAAAACCAAACTAATAATGACAGGTAAGCATATAATGTCTATATTTCTTACTGTATCCTGAATATAGAGATACACAGATACTGCCTCAGGTGCAAAAGTGACAGACAGGCAGAGGATGGACAAACAGAAACAACAAATTGAACTGAACCATACAAAAAGAAGTCCTTAAGTTTGATAGGTAGGTAAGTTCATCCTTACCTCCACTTCAGGTAGGGATGAAAATGAGTAATCAGTGAAGCAGATGGCTAAGAATCTTCTAACTTATAGTGAAGGAGTCATTGGATAATACCGGTGGAATACCCCAGCCAAACTACTGGGACACACATAACTAATCTGTATGTCCTCAGCAAGACTGTAGCTGGGTCTTTGTCTATACCTGGACGTATTTCTTTCGAATTTACTTGCTTTTTTTATTTTACTATTATTATTTTTTTTTTTTTTTTCTTTTTTTTTTTTTTTTAAATACACAATTAGAAGCTCGCATTTCAGGGACAGAGCCAGTGGTCATGTATTAATGAGAAAACGGTGACTATCTGTCCCACTTTTTTATTTCTGGAAGTCCTCAGTATTGAGGTAAAGAATTTGAGGCATTCCTTGTCCAAAGCCGCCGTTCCATCCTTTGATTTCTGTTGTATCTATCAATTCATGAAGCATTTCTATATTTAAAATCAGATAATCCGCTTTGGTGTACCATGAATATCAATGATTGTCATTAATAATAAGAGGGACATTAATTTTTTTTACCTCTGTTTTATCATAGAACACTGATTTTGACGACTGAACTCAATCAACTTACCTGGCCATAGTCAATAATGGGTGTTTCCACAGCAGGGAACAAGTCTTGGATGATCCCATTGAACAGCGACACATCAGCAGAGGTGAGTTTAGCAATGTTCATGTCCTTCATAGCCATCAGCAGGATCTGAAGACAGAGACATGCTAATTTTATCATATGTGTAAATTGTTATGTAATGTTAATTTAAAAAAGTAAAAAAATGTAGGCTGGCTTTGACAACTGCCAAAGGGACTACTGATGAAAATTAGCTTAATTTAGCTAACTCGGGCACGTTTACATTGTACAATGTTGATTAATGTGCATTGTCCCTTGTCAAATAAATAAAATAAGAAGAAATTACTTAGAGTTTAGACTACTAGAAAGAGAAGGACTGATAGTTTAGACAAATTTAAAGGAGCTGCGTGTCATATGATGTGACACTAAGGGTGGCTGTGGCTCAGGTGGTAGAGCAGTTGTCCTCTAATTGCAAGGCTGGTGGTTCGATCCTCCACAGCCGAAGTGTCCTTGGGCAAGACACTGAACCCAAAGTTGTTCCCAATGGCATTCAAGCGCCTTGCATGGCAGCTCTGTCACCACTGGTGTATGAATGTGTGCGTGAATGGGTGAATGAGAAAAACAGTGTCAAGCGCTTTAGGTATCACTAAGGTAGAGAAGCACTATATAATGTGCAGACCATTAACCATTTACTGTGGATGTCAGGACAGGAGAAGAAGAAAAAAGTCAGGAAAAGAGAGATGACACAGCTTGGGTTCTCCTTTCAGCTCATGCAGTCACAATAATTTCCTAATATTAAATTCCCATGCAAGTTGTCATCTTTTTAGTCTGAAATTCTTACACTTTCCACAGTCACAGTTCCATAGTTAAACTGCAGAGGAGAGATAATGACAGTAATAGGAAATTTCATACTTCAAATATTTTTTTTTGAGGGATACCTACTTGCTTTGATGTACCACCTAATGGACTCGGGCTGCAAAAGCTTCTGTTAGCGCCATATAAACTTACTTGTACACCACAAAGACTGGATTTTGTCCCCAGTCAGTTACATTGAAAGCACATTAAAAAGGGATCTCTTATAGGTACGTATAGAGAGAATGATAATTACAGCAGCACAAACTTCTTTCTGTGAACTGACAACTGCTTTCGTGCAAACTTACAAAATTGGCTATTTAATTCCTGTAACTGGTTTGCTTGACTTGCATTAATGTATTTCATTTTTTTAGGGGTCACTTAAGGGTACTAAAAAGCATTTTTTGACAAATCCTCAAAGCCATTTTGTTTGAGTGAGACAGAGAGAGGCATGTAGAGAGAGACCTACTTCTTCATCAGGAACTGTGGGGCAAGAGCGGCGCTTCTTTCCAGCATAGCGAAGCAAGGAGGTGAGTGCACGAAGACCAAAATCATAGTGGTCCTGTTTTGATAGCTGCTGCACTGCCAGGGAGTAAAGTGTGAATACCTTCTTTGCGAGGAGCTATTGGGACAAAGACAGAAGTAAAGTAACAAAGACAGAGACAGAAAAAGAAAAAAAATAAAGAAAAGAGCAAAAGAGAATGGCAAAAGTCAGTTTGGATACATCAGGTTAAAATTTGCAGTACAAAACGCGCCAGTTCACAAATTATACATCTGTTCAACCGCCATGCAGCCAGCTTCTATTACAGCACGAGGCAATAATGTTCGCCGAGCATGTGTGTGCCCATCTGTGTAATCTTCATGCTGCAGGGAAATCAGGTTTACACAATGTGTGAACCTCAACTCCATTTGGTCCTGCCTGCTGTAGCTGTTTAACCTTTTTTTTTTTGCTTGTGTGTGTATATACAGTATCAGAGCTACATAAAAAGACAAGCGAAAATCCACATAATAAAATAAATGTTTCTCTGCTTCTGCTCCAAGAGGCTTAAAACTTATTTTATTTAAATTGCTGACACTGATGAGCACTGATTGTACTGTGGAAGAGAGGGAAGCGAAAAGGATGAAGGAGGCTGAGGGTGAGATAAAAAATGGAGAAAGAAATATGATGAAAGAAAAAAGAAGTGAGAAGAATAATTTAACATATGAGCAGTAACAATAAACTTTTCAAAACCTGCTTATTTTGATGGGTTCCTCCACACACATGCACTGACATTACTGGAAACTAGTACATAAGATTGCCCTCATGTGAGAATTTGAAGAACTGAAGAGACAAAATGCAAATACAGGCCTGCTGCACTGACATGCGGTTTAGTGGTTTTATGTTTGTTTTCCTGATCCGGTTTTTGATATGTAGGGAATTTAGGTAGAAAAGCACCATCAGACTGAGTCTTTAACAGAGCTCAGAGTTATTTCTGGGGAATCGCAATATGATATGTTAAACAGCACAAAGTCTCTGGAAATATATGTCCCTTACTGAAAAGCACAAAAAAAATACTAGACAAGAAAGTAAACTAACACATTGTAACAAAAAATAAATAAAATAAGATATGACAAAAAATAAATATGCTTGAAAGGATAACTATATTTAGTAAATCAATGATTTAAATAAGAAGAGCTTTGCCTTAAATGTTAACTTGTCATTGTTTTGGGTTTACTTTTATTTGGGCTTCAAGAGTTTGGTACACTATCACTTGTTATTGCTCAATCCAGCTGCAACTGGTTAAGATGTAGCTTTAGGTTTAAGATTTCAGCATTTCAGATGGTTAAGGATATGGGTTAGGGGCAAGCATCAATCTCCTAGGCTGAAAAATCCAACAGAACATCCCTCACATCTTTTCTATAACTAAATTCTAAGTCTGACAAGATTGAACAAAATATTAACTATATTAAAAACAGCGAGAGATTCTTTTAAAAAAGAATTTCAATCTGTTTTTGTGCAGTTGTTCTTATCCACAAGTTTCTTTCATATATTTGTGAAGGTTAAATACAAACATGTCTCACTAAGGAGTTTGCTGTAAATCTGAACAACCTGTCATCCGATCTACTTCAAAGTTGGTGTGTTCACTGCTGGGCACTTGAGGAAATGAAGTGCAGAGTGTGAAGTTGTTTGTATGAGCAGACGGTATTTTAAGTGTAGTTTTGGGATCCCCAGCGGGTGTTTGGGGGCCTGTGGGCAGAGTCAAGTTTCCATTCCTCATTGATCTATTCATCTACCCGAGGCTGTCTACTGCTCTCATAATGTATGTTTGTGTCTTTTCTGTGTATATGTCTGCCCATCTCTAACAGCTTGCAAATCCACAGTACACCATAACTTTCAGCAACTGTGAATACTGTGTAGCTGTGTGTGTCAGTTTTAATCTGTTATTGGTCGCACTGCTACATGATTAAGACTCCTAATTCTCTATCTGGAACTTAATTGAAGCTCCCAACAGGATTCAGCATAGCAAGAAAACCATTCAACCTGGTACAAGTCACCAGGGAGCAAAACAGGTGTTTATGTTCAAGATAAAATTAGGATGTCCTTACACACATGTGGGTTAGAAACACATACCATCACCACCCCCTCTCATCACTCTGTCACCTCTGTCATCTCCATTTCAATAAACACACATACATGGTAGAGTGAAGCTTCAATAACTTCCTCTCTTGTGTTAATTGATTGACTTTTAATGCATCAAATGAAACACAATGTTTGCATGAGAATGAGGAAGGAGTGCTGAACTACACTTTGAGAGTGATCAGTGTGTAAGTAGTGCTTGCAAGTTGCTTTTATGAAATGTCTGTTGTTATCATCACACACACACACACACACACACACACACACACAATTATGGCTAAATGGGGTTTGGTCTTGCACCAATTTTGACACTGATCCCAGACCAATATATACTCATTACAAGTGCTAGAAATAGCTTTGGAGTAAAACTTTACAACAACACAACTTTATATAGTACATACAGTAAAATAACAAAAACTTAATAAAGATAAAAAGGGCTGCTGTGGCTCAGGTGGTAAAGCAGTTGTCCTCTAATCGCAAGGTTGGTGGTTTGATCCCCTGCCCCTCTACAGTTGAAATGTCCTTGGGCAAGACGCTGAACCCAAAGTCGCTCCCAATGGCATTCAAGCGCCTTGTGTATGTCCGATATGCATAACATGTAGAACAAAAAGCCCACTTTCTTCAGCTAAGAACACACTTAAACCATTATCCTTAATAAGAGTAGCCTTATTTGCACTGTTTTCTTCTTTCACCAGTTCCATTATATTCTTTCTTTCACCAACATTTTATCAGTACCTATGTTCTGTACAGTGGTAGTACCTTGCAGTTGTTGAAGCCCTCACCAAACAGCAGAATCTCTGCAATCAGAGTAGAGTCTGGCACCACCATGGAGATAGGTCTGAACATGGACTTGAGATTGTCAGGAAGCTCAGTGCGACCAGCGTATCCTAGAAAAAAATGTATGTAGAATAAACATTGCAGTTAGAAACACTGATACAGACAATTGGGACAGGTTTTCCATGTTTTACATTTTAATCTCCAACACGTTGACATAGAGGTGTTGACGCACCTGGATTCGTGGTGATAAAGATGCCACATGTGGAGACCAGTTGTATGTGCTGTCCTTGGAAATGAAACTTGGACTTTCCGGCTGAGAGGGCAGACAGAATGGAAAGGATCTGCTGGGCCACCACCGACAACACCTCAATGTTGATACGGTTGAACTCATCAAAGCATCCCCAAGCTCCTGTCTGTTCAGGGTGGACACAAGAAAATGCACACCAATTTGAAAGTCAAATTACACAGAAAGACACAGGGAAAACAAACAACTATTTAGGGGGGAAAAAAGTTTTGTGTCCTTTACACACAGGCTTTTTATTTTAGGATGTTTTGTTTCTTTACTTAGGCATGAACACAACCCTAACCAGTCGACTATGGAGTTGCCCAACACACAGAGTTGTTGAACATCAACCTACACAATGTGACCACACACAGTCTGAAAGTCAGAAGGAACAGCCTACTACTTACTAACACCAAAAAGGTCATAGTTTAATCATATAAGCCAGAGGGAAATTTCACTACCTTCACTTGTAAGCTCTTCCTTTGCTTATTTAAAGGCCATTCATGCTGTATCTTGTTTTGCTTTTCAGAACAGACTAGACCAGGAGTCTCCAACTCCGGTCCTCATGAGCTACTGTACTGCAGGTTGTAGACGTTTCTGTACTGCAACACACCTGACTCGAATGGATCTCCAACAGCTTGCTGTCATGTTCAAGTCTGTTAATGATCCACTAATTTGAGTCAGGTGTGTTGCAGTAAGGAAATGTCTAAAACCTGCAGGACAGTAGCTCACGAGGACCGGAGTTGGAGATCCCTGGACTAGAGTATCCAGTTCTTCCATCATTTGATGTAATAATACTTGCTTTACTCTTTATATCACCCTTTATCGCAAGAAAAATAATATATTCCATACTGTAAAATTGCTATATTTTTAGATGTATCTCACCGTAAAATGCTGGTGGTAGAGATATCTTTTTATAACTGTTTTGGGGATCTATGGAATCTGGTTATATCAGAACACTGATTGTAGGATTCTGTATGACTATACTGTAGGGGAGAGAAAACTGGTGCGAATCGTTTGGCTTCCAATCTCTTTTGTGACATAGTATTGCCTATACATGTTAAAATCTACTTCATGAGTAATTCAAACACCCTGCCTTCACCCGAAGTCAGCTGGGATAGGCTCCAGCACCACCACGACCCGAGTGAGGATTAAGTGGTGTATCGATAATGGATGGATGGATGGAGTGATTCAAACATCAGTAATGGTGTTGAGACGAATGCACAGCTGCATGAAGTTGTAACTATGAATCTTAGATGTCGGAATATATTTACCAACTTACACAATAACTCAATACAGTAATAGTATTTACCATAGGTATTCCCATCATCACAGCTGCTTCCTACCTGTGCCAAGCCAGAGTACATGCGTCCCATTGATTTGTAATCCAGTCCTTCAGAGCAGTTGACCACGATGACATACATGCCGAGAGCTTTGCCTAAGTCCTTTACCGTCTCCGTCTTTCCCGTACCAGCAGGGCCTTGAGGAGAGCCCCCTCGGTGGAGATGGAGTGCTGTGGTCAGAGTCATATAACACCTGGACAGAGGCAAACGCTGACATTGACTCTAAGTGGAATATCATTGGCAACCAAGCAATGTTCCAAATAAATAAACAAATCCATGTTGAAACCTTGACAGAAAGACAATGATTGTTAAACAATCTAGATTATCTTTGAGGCTTTCAAAATGTCCAAAATGGAAATACAGTACATTTGTTTGTTCTTATGCTGTATGTTAAAACAAGAGTGTGCAGTGTTCTCAAATGTGAATTAACCTACTAAAGCTACTGTGAAAATCACTTTCATTTACTAATCTTTTTAACTGCAAATGCACAAGGTGTATTCTAGGGAAAGTCTAGTGATACTCCAGTAAAATGTACATTACACCAGACACTAATCACAGTTGGAATCTGTCCTTAGTCTCATGAATGGGTGCAACAGATTGAGAGATGTGTTGCATTTGATAAATGATGCACTGATTAACTGAATGACTGATTGTGACCTGTCAGTGAGAGGAGTGATGACGAGTCGTCCTGAGTTGCCCAGATACTCGTAGCCGTACTTGAACTGTGTGTTGGTCTGTCGGATTACGCAGTCACTCTTCGATAAGTCATTTGGGTGAGACTACAAACAAAGCAGGGAACAGACATGTTAAGTGGATTGGTCTCATTCTAACTCATCCCATCTATAAAGTTCAACTCTTGCTGTCATTTAAAGGTCAGCAGAGGTGGACTGACAACGTGGACATTTTTGTCCAGGGCAACTGGTGGACTCAGGCCAGTGAGTCAGACTGACAAACACCAGCAGCCATTAGCTTAATTACTCATCAGTGTCAGTCTGAGTAATAAAAAGCACGTCTAGGTAAGACCTGTACCTGTCCAACAGTTCAGTATCCCTAAATACTCCTTATATGCCAAGTGAGATGTCCTGTCATGGATGATTGTTGCATTTCATACATTTTCTTACCACATTAAACCTCTTATGAAAACGCAAACACATGCACCTTGTTGCCCACATTGTTAATTCACACTTTAAAGCAATTAAAAAAAAAAAAAAAGGTCACCAAACTATTTGAATATATATATTGCTTTTGTTATATGCTGCAGTAAGTAGGCCAGCGGAAGACAGGACAAATCAGAGGACATTTAGTCTATGACATGAAGCAAAAATAAAGAGAAGTGTGGCCAGAGAAGCCTTGATGTTTTAAAAAGTTATTTCACCAAATGTTAGATAAACTGGTTAGCACATCACATATTTTTCACTATCTGCATCTATAGTTATTTTTGTTTAGGATATGTGCTTGGATACCCAGTAGAAAAACTGAGGTCTTACAACAGCCGTTAGAGCCCTTATTTAACTCCCACAGAGCACCTGAAACATGGAGGAAACTTTCACCACAGTTATTACGAAAACTGGCTGATCCCTGCTCAGACACTGCCAAGCAGTTTTGCAAGCTAAACACAAAATCACTGTAATTGGGACAGTCACAGAACAAACCTTCTCCTTTTGATGAATATTTTGCTTGACAGATGTGCTTGTGCTTGCTCTCAATAAATGCTATTTGCTTTGCTGTCTACTGTAATGATTTAAAAAAATTTTTTTTTTAGGATTTTAAGAATTGGCTTATGTGTTCAAATAATTTTTTAAGCTGGAGTCCCTATGACCAGTAAACCCAGTGTTTGCAAGGTTTTCACTCTACTATGTAAAAGGTGTTGAGATGACATGTGATAAATAAAATTGAATTGGAGAAACTACTGACAAGTTGTCAAGAACTAGTTTTGGCTATGTGCATAAGTTGGCTCATTTAACACTTCCCTTAACTAAACAAAAAAAAAAGAGACTAATTTAATAAACAAAAATGCATCACAATACACTATATAAATTAAAAGTGTGGAATATTATATTTAACACTGCTGTGAAGAAAAGATTATCCCATGTATGCATTTAATAAGTGATGTAATGTTGTGGCTAGCTAAATTTGTCTATTCAGGATGGCATAAGCACACTGTCCCTGAGGGAATACTGTTGTTCAACCAGAAAGAAAGAGGAGTATGTCCCATAGTTCCAAACTAACATAATTTATAATAATACAACTACACTGATATACAGTACTGCTGACACCAGTTGTGTCTGCCTGCTTTTATTAGCAGGCCAGCAAACTCACAAATGAGTAGAATGAATGAACAAATGGAGAGAGAGAAATGCTCATAATATGGGAGACAATGTTAACATGAAAGACGTGATATTTAACTCAGAAGTGTTCCTTTAACTGTCATAAGCTACTGAATCATTTAAAGCAATACGTCTGTATGTACTTGTTCAGTTTTACTGTCAGTTTTTAAGAATACTTTTTTATGAAATATCAGCAATGAAACAAGGTAAAGTGTACAGTATTTGCAGGAATTTTTGTGATTGTCCTAAAAATCACATGCAAAAACTACGAAAACTAAAAATTCATGTCTGCTGCTCTTACTTGCCTCACTCTCAGACCTTACCTTGTCCCAGTACAGTCGCAGTTGGCATAACCACTCAAAGGCCTTGACATCATTGCAGCCTGCCTTGGCCAGCTTATTGATAACATCCCGGGCATGAACCTCTACTGTGACCAGTGCTACGATCTTCAGACGTAGGACTTTGGTCAGTTCGTTGCGAATCATTTCTGAATAGCACTTAAGCATGGCGACCTAAGAGAGACAGTTGTAGAAAACATTCAAGTGAAGGGTTTCTTATGCCAGCATGTCAGCTACACACAGCACATAATAGTAGCCTTGACTTGAACTTTGCAATGGAGATATACTGGTATATTAACAAAACGTAAAAGTGACAATACTCAAAACTGTATATATATATATATATATATATA